TTCATGTGTTTATCTAATGTTCTTGCTGTTTTTATCCTTCAAACCTTCACGTGTTTATCTAATGTTCTTGCTGTTTCTATCCTTCAAACCTTCATGTGTATATTTAATGTTCTTGCTATTTCTATCCTTCAAACCTTCACGTGTTTATCTAATGTTCTTGCTGTTTCTATCCTTCAAACCTTCATGTGTATATTTAATGTTCTTGCTATTTCTATCCTTCAAACCTTCACGTGTTTATTTAATGTTCTTGCTGTTTTTATCCTTCAAACCTTCATGTGTATATTTAATGTTCTTGCTATTTCTATCCTTCAAACCTTCACGTGTTTATTTAATGTTCTTGCTGTTTTTATCCTTCAAACCTTCACGTGTTTATCTAATGTTCTTGCTGTTTTTATCCTTCAAACCTTCACGTGTTTATCTAATGTTCTTGCTGTTTTTATCCTTCAAACCTTCACGTGTTTATTTAATGTTCTTGCTGTTTTTATCCTTCAAACCTTCATGTGTATATTTAATGTTCTTGCTATTTCTATCCTTCAAACCTTCACGTGTTTATTTAATGTTTTTGCTATTTTTATCCTTCAAACCTTCACGTGTTTATTTAATGTTCTTGCTGTTTTTATCCTTCAAACCTTCACGTGTTTATCTAATGTTCTTGCTATTTCTATCCTTCAAACCTTCACGTGTTTATTTAATGTTCTTGCTGTTTTTATCCTTCAAACCTTCACGTGTTTATTTAATGTTCTTGCTGTTTTTATCCTTCAAACCTTCACGTGTTTATTTGATGTTCTTGCATACTATTTGCATACTAATTTATATTGATGTTGTTGTCGACATGCATGGAGTGGTTATTGAGTAAATGCCCGAGTAGTAACAGAAAAGGTAGAGTATGATCAGACAAACATGTAATAGTTGTTATTCTGGTTTGTATAAGTTGTTTTGAGCATTTGTTCGTCAAAATACATTTGTTTTGTATAAAAGGATTTGCTTTTGGTATAATCATTTTCGAAACAGATCAACGCTTTGTTCAGATAATTTCCCTATACTTGGTGTAGAGTCATGCCTCGTCACGTGCCAGAAGTTATATAGTGTCAAATTGTTCGACTGTCAAGACATGAAGGTCGAAAGTAATCTTGAAGCACCTTAAAACAGGAATGGTATGAACTCGTCGATTCCAGGATATCCAGAAGAAGAGTGAAAATGAGACTAACCAAACAAGATTATATTGCAAGAAGGGATATCTGTAAGCCATAACTATGTTACTTGGCCAAGACAGCATGCCAACTTATAGTTAGGACATTGGCGACATAATAACGTTGGAGACGGCGTGAATGGGTAATGAAGAAAAACTTTAATATAAGTTTCACATAACAGCAAATGTACAACGTTTCGACAAGGTTTTGTCATCATCAGGTACGTTGTCAAAACGTTGTACATTTGCTGTTATGTTAAACTTACATTAAAGTTTTTTTCATTACCCATTCAAGCGTCTTCAACCATTATTAGTCTCAAAGTGGGTTCCTCGTCATCGAATTTGAATTCATCATTGGCAACATGTCATGTTTTCAGATGATTCCTGTTTCTAGCTTGTTAAAGCTGATGGTAGGATTCGTGTTCCTCGTTTACCTGGAGAAAATATGAGGGAAAACTGTTTTTACTACAGGAAACACACAAGAAGGAGGTGGTACAGTACATGTTTGGGCAGCTACCAGTCATGGTGGAAAACTGCTCTTCATATCCTCCAGATAAACGTCAATGGCGTCTCCTACAGACATCACATGGAAACGATATTTCTGCATATTATATATGCTAGGGCAAGGTTTAGCAATAACTTTGTGTTCCAGGATGACAATGCCAATGCCCATAGTGTGCATATTGTACAGGATTATCTCGACCAGGATGACGTTACAAGATTGTCATGGCCAGAAATATCTCCAGATTGTAATCCTATTGAGAACTGAGCCGTAAAATTTGTAAGCATGACCCTAAACCAGCTACTGAGTTGCAGTGCCTTCTAGTGTCAAGTTAAGATTAAATCACAGTGTATTACATCGATAACCCCATCGACAGCATGCTACGTCACCCTGCGGAGTACAAGGAGGACCAACCAAGTACTGAATGTTTAATATGAATTTATATAAGGTTATAGATGATATTTATAATAATTTGATGTTATATTTTGTCATTATATATGTTTTGGTAAGGTTTTGTTGTGATAGATGAAGGGCTAAATTACACATCTTTCTACAGGTGTCTGACAAAATTGTTTGCTGTTCTAATAAATCCTTCATTATACAAATTAAATATATACTTGTCAATATAACATGCATTTTTCACTTTGACAGTGCTAAGTGTGTTCGTATTCCATCTTAATTTTAATGATGTTATTTGTTACAAAATATGCAAACGTTTTGGTCAAGATTGTACCATGATTAATCTTGTATAAGATGTTTCTTAAGGGACTTCACAGCTTTTTGATCCCTTACTTACTTACCAGTCTTTTAAATATTATATATTTTAATCTTTTGGAACTTCATAGCTGTTTTGTTTGTTTTTTCAATACTTTTAATGTTTTTGAATTTCATAGTTTCTGTCTTTATAAATAATATAACTTTCTTTCTTTTGTAATATCTCAAATTTCTATTATTTTGAGCATCAAAACTTTCGTTTTTATCGCAATATTCTGTCTAAAAATTTAATACCCCGTGAATTGGATATTTGTTTTTCAAAAAAAATTTTTTTAATAAACCATTTAGTATATGCAGTGATTGAAGTGGGATAAAAGCGAAAGATGGATAGTTTGTGAAAATTTTGAAGCTGAGTGCTGTATTTCTTGTTTGTCATCTGTATTATTCATTCATAATTAGAAAAATAACTGAAATGTAAAAATTAGAGACTTTGTAAGTTAGATATGGTGAGATAATGAAAAATAATAATAAAAATACTTCGCGAGGTATATTCACAAGTAGCTCATTACGTAATTCGATAAGGTAACATGAACTGCATGTTTGCCGAGTAATTTACAACTTGTGTGGCAGGATTATTAGTTAGACACGGTTCAAAGGGCAATAAAATAAAGTATAAACAAATATATACTATTACGAGTTATAGTGTGGGAACTCTGATAGTTACTTTGTGGTTACAAACTTGGTAACACCAAGTGTGACCGAGCCTATAGCGAGAAGATTCATTTGCTCTATCTGTGTACTACTTTGTCTCATTCCTGCCTCTCACTTACACGAAATTTTAAGAAAATGTATATTTCCTCTCCCTAGACCCTTGTCGACGTAAATATTTATTGCATCAACTACTGAACCTTTTCTTTTTGAGAAGCTTAGAGTCTACTAAAAGTTGGCTGGATGGTTTTGGGCCATCCTGAAAAGAAGTGGGATAGCTTGATGCCTTATCCCACCCCACTTCAAGCACTGAGTATATATATATATATATATGTGTGTGTGTGTGTGTGTGTGTGTATGTATAAGATGGGATAAAAGTTACTATACAGTTTATACGGTTAGTGTTATGTGGATGATACTAAAAATGTCTCGAAGACAATTTAAACCAATTTAATTATTGTTAGTTTTAGGGTTAAACTATGTTTAAATAAAACCTCAGTATACTCACGTTTGCATGTATGTACACATGAGCTTTCATTACATTGTAAGCCTGAGTTTTACGATGTTCCACCAAGAGATTGAACTTTTCAACATTTTTCTTTGAAAATATCTCCTTCCCCACCACCACCAGCAAAAAGTAATACATTTTAAATGAGCAAAGTCTACCACTGTAGGATCTCAAATATTTACCCTGTTGCCATCTTGAAGAACAAGAAACACAGTATTTTCCAGTTTTTCTTATGACAAGATGTGATACAAAGGATTAAGCACATTACCTTGAAGAAAATTTAAATATGCAAATCAGCAAATCACGTTAAGATATAAATTATCGGTGGAATGGATTGTATGAGAACTACAAATTGACATTGACTCATAGATAAGGCGATGTCACTGAAAACTAATTACTTTTGGAAGGGTATTTAACAGCTCTTTTTTACTCAAAATATTTATATACTAAGATAAAGATTGGTAACTTAGAAATTTCAAAATAGGAATATCCCTTGTACTTAATGGCATTGGAAAACAGAAAAAGATATGAATCAACTTGGGGATCCAGGAGCATCCAGAAAAGAGACTTGCAACAATTTGTACCCCAAATATGATAAACAAAATTTGGTATTTTTTTAAAACAGAAGCTGTCCACGTGCACCAGTTAACATTACACATCATGATAAAAAAATAAGTTCTCCATCTGAAAAAGCAATACAAGTCTTGTGTACACAAGTTACTTCCATGACATTTTGTTCTCCAGTCACACACCTCAACCAGTTTGAGAATGAAATGTGTGCTCGTGGTATTCCACATGAAGATATAATACTCAAGCTGCCTAAGTATTTATATGAGATCAGACTGTTGAAACCAATGCTGGGTAACTGTTATCACAAGATATATCATGGAAAGCAAGCAGAGATGTGCTTAGGACATGGCTGTTTTATGACGGAGCCTTGTGCAACTGAAACTATGCTGTAGAGATATTGTCAAGAAGCATGATCGTCAGATAGATCATGAAAGGACACAGTCATATAAACTTCTAACGACGTGTTTTAATAAAAAATACTCAATCCCTCTATTTGTTTTAACATGAAATGGTTAGATAATTTTCTTTATAGTAATAATACTCCTTCAGGGGGCCTTTGTATAAGTATTGAGATTGTTAACTTACATAAACACATGAAGCTTTGGTGTTTCAGATTATCAAGTGGTGTTTTACACGAAGCTTTGTTTTTTCAGATTATCATGTTATATAAACCAAGTGTTTTACAGGAAGGCTGAGGAAGCTTTGATGTTTAAGATGATCATGTTATATAAAGCAGGTGTTTTACATGAAGCTTTGATGTTTAAGATTATCATGTTATATAAAGCAGGTGTTTTACACAAAGCTTTGATTTTTCAGATTATCGTGTTATATAAACCAAGTGTTTTACATGAAGCTTTGGTTTTTCAGATGATCATGTTATATAAAGCAGGTGTTTTACATGAAACTTTGATGTTTAAGATTATCATGTTATATAAAGCAGGTGTTTTACACGAAGCTTTGATTTTTCAGATTTTCATGTTATATAAACCAAGTGTTTTACAGGAAGGCTGAGGAAGCTTTGATGTTTAAGATTATCATGTTATATAAAGCAGGTGTTTTACATGAAGCTTTGGTTTTTCAGATGATCATGTTATATAAAGCAGGTGTTTTACATGAAGCTTTGGTTTTTCAGATTATCATGTTATATCAAGCAGGTGTTTTTCATGAAACTTTGTTTTCAGGTTGTCGAATTTTATAAAAGTGTTTAACACAAATATTTAGTTCTAGGTGTTCAACAAAAATATTTGATTTTGAAATCGTTGGATTGTATAAAAACGTTTTATTTGAAACTTTGATTTTTAGTTTGTTTAGTCGGTTGTATAACAATTTGTCTCATTTTTTGTCGTGTTTTTTATAGGAACTAGTGCGAAGAATTATGAGGAAATATATGTGTCCCTTTCTGGTGATCCTTGGAATTAATATTGTTATCTGCGTTTTGTACATGCAGAAACATGTACATGTGGTTGATTTCTTAGGTGGTCAGATCCGACCCAATACGGTAAACATCCAGAGTCTGACAGAGTCCTCAACAGAAAGTAGTGAAGTTTCCTTGCTTGTGACTAGAAGGTCTGGCTTCCAGGAAGAGGATAAACAGTATAGCAGTCAATTTCAAACAACTGAAAACTTAAAACTTCCCTTAGACAGCGTTAGTAAAATTTCTAAAACCCTAGAGAATCCAAACTTTACCAAAATAGAGGACTTTGCCAGAAATAAAGTGACACAAATTAATGCCCATCCTTACACTTTCCTTATTAATCCTGTAGGGCTATGTTCTCAAACAAAAACCCCTTTCGACCTTCTTGTCCTTATCAGCAGTGGTATCACAAACTATGAACAGCGGTCAGCAATCCGGTCAACTTGGGGATCTGAAGCAACTGTATTTAATAATTCTGGGAATGTAAGATTGGCCTTTCTGTTGGGATACACAACGGACCAAACTATCCAAGATAAGGTGTTTCAGGAAGCCCAAATCCATTCTGATATTGTCCAGGAGAACTTCCTAGATACATATAGAAACTTAACTCTAAAATCCGTGATGCTGCTCAAGTGGGTCAGTGAATTTTGTCACAATGTCCATTTTGTAATGAAAACGGATGACGACATGTACATAAATATTCAAAACTTGCTGAAGATGGTATCTAAACTTCTCAATCGATCAAACATAATGATTGGTTATCTGTTTAGTAAAGCTACACCTGATAGGAAGAAAGAAAATAAATGGTATGTTCCTAAGTCTGAGTTCCCCGGTGGTGTGTATCCAAACTACCTGTCAGGCACAGGCTACGTCATGACCCACGACGTCATTCCGAAGCTCTATCAAACCTGTCTCAATACGAAGTTCCTCGCCATGGAAGATATTTTTGTGACTGGCATTGTGGCATCGAAAGCAAAGGTGGCCAGAATCCACAACAGTCAGTTTTCTTTTTTAAGGAGAAATCCATCTGGATGTGCCTTCGTCAATGCTATATCCGGACATCACGTAACTGTTAAAGAGATGAAGAAAATCTGGGAAGAGTTGAAACAGTCCTCTTTGAGGTGCAAAAGTCAATGACCAAGAAGTTTTGATTTGATCTGTTAGTCTGTTTTTCACAGTCGCACAATTTGAAAAGATAGATATTAACACTACATAAAATGGTAACAGATATTCTATTACAAATATTGAGAAGTTCTCATGTATTGGATAGTTTTATTTTCCAAAATTTTTCACCTTATACAGCTGCCTTTCATCTATATACAAATATGATTAATCATCATTAATATAATCTTGCAACTTATAGTGAGTACATCTTTGTATTTATTTACTTTATCACAGAGTTTGAGACGATGAGGAGTTAGTAAAATATATTGAAAACAAAGGCATTTTCTGGTGATTTATAATAGTTGTTGTTTTAAAAAGTTTAGAAAAAAATGCCTTCTTTTGAAAATATTGATTGAAGAAAGGTTCCATAATTTTAGTGATTTTTAGTAACTCTATACATAACATAATTAGTGTGAAGATTAGTTATGATGACAAATGAAGTATTTGTGATGTATTTTAGTTATTGTCGTTAACATCATGTTTCTTATTCTAGTCCATCTTAAAGATCAGTGTTATTAAACTTTCGTTTTATATTATACACGATTATAAACCATAAAAGATGATAAAATATTGAAAATTGTAGCAAAATGTTTACACACCTTTCTGTTTACTATCTTGATTGAAAAATGTAGTATTTGTTTAATTTATAATTATGTATAGGGATCATTATCACAATCATGGATGAAACTATTGTTGGCTATTTATCAGTGGTATATTATCAGAGCCAACAATATTCTGATTAAAAATAAAAACCGCTTTTGGTTACTTATTACTATTAGTGATATTTTAACATATCTAACAATATTTAGGATAAAATGTGTTTTTTACTACTTAGGACTAGTGATATATTATCATAACCAACATATTCGTATTAGTGATAAAATAATACACTGAAACGTCAAAACCAACTGATTAATTTAATTCTATGACAATGTCGTGATGATGTTCGACATCTACAATATAAGTCTAAACGTTCAATGCTTTTGATGGCTTTTTTTCTTGTATTATTGAGAACATAGACAATCAATTTCTATTTTTTATAAGAGGAATGAGCTAAAGAATGAATTACACAGTGCTGAATTGAAATATTTGACACATTTTATTTTGTCTGAGCTTTTACACATTTCTGGGTATTTCTCCATTTTGATAATCACCGATTTGGCCACATGAAATGTATATTTTCTTACTTTGCTAACCACTGTTAAACACACATACATACACACACATATATGCGAGGGTTTTGAGTTAGAATAAAATGTTACTTGTTCTACAACCGTCCATCATGACTGAGTTCTGAAGAAATAAAAAGTGTAATTGAAAACGTCACCATCTTGTCATATCTATGCTTCATATTCATAATATATTTATGTTATTTTTATGAATTGAGAAATAACTAATATTTAAACATCATGAGTTTGAAAAACAGTTTTTTATGGGTTTGATACATAGTGGCCAGCGTGCCCAGACCACGAGTCTTAAGAATCGTGGTTCTTGCTCTATGCTCGGGGCCGTGTGTGTGTTCTATAATAGTGACAGTCAAATCTAACTAGTCGATCAAATAAGAGAAGCCCTAGAGTATTCAAAGTGTGTTTGATCAACTGCCTACTTTCTAGTTAATCAGTTCAAAATTAGGATGGTTATGCATAGGTAACTTGTGTAGCTTCTCAAAAAAACAAAACAGACTTTTGGTGACATACTGTATTGGAACTGATTGACTTTTCCAAGTTCTGGATTTATTTAGAATTCATCTATGTTATACAATATTATTTAGGTTTTTTAATCTCATTAGAAACATTTAATATATTTCACATTTAGTATTTTACTATTTCCTTGCTTTACAATGACTACAGTACTCTCTTGTTGTCCCACTTACTACAATACTATTTTATTGCTCTACAATGACTACAATACTCTCTTGTTGTTCCACTTACTACAATACTATTTTATTGCTCTACAATGACTACAATACTCTGTTGTTGTTCCACTTACTACAATACTATTTTATTGCTCTATAATGACTACAATACTCTCTTGTTGTCCCACTTACTACAATACTATTTTATTGCTCTACAATGACTACAATACTATTTTATTGCTCTATAATGACTACAATACTCTCTTGCTGTCCCACTTACTACAATACTATTTTATTGCTCTACAATGATTAAAATACTCTCTTGATGACCTTTGTGTTTATAATACAATCATGGGGTGAATATTAGTACGTTAATCTGAGTACTTATAATACCACCATGGGGTAAATATTAGTACATTAATCTAACCAAGTGTTTATAATACAACCATGGGATGACTATTAGTATGTTAATCTAACCTAGTATTTATAATACTACCATGGGTTGAATATTAGTACATTAATCTAACCAAGTGTTTATAATACAACCATGGGGTGAATATTAGTACGTTAATCTGAGTATTTATAATACTACCATGGGTTGAATATTAGTACATTAGATCTTAGTGTTTATAATACAATCATGGGATGAACATTAGTACATTAATCTAACTGAGTGTTTATAATACCACCATGGGATGAATATTAGTACATTAAATCTGAGTGTTTATAATACAACCATGGAGTTAATATTAGTACGTTAATCTAACTGAGTGTTTATAATACCACCATGGGGTGAATATTAGTACATTAATCTAACTGAGTATTTATAATACCACCATGGGGTGAATATTAATACGTTTATCTAACTGAGTGTTTATAATACCACCATGGGGTATTATAAACACTCAGTTAGATAATACCACCATGGGGTGAATATTAGTATGTTAATCTAACTGAGTGTTTATAATACAATCATGGGGTGAATATTAGTACCTTAATCTAACTGAGTGTTTATAATACAATCATGGGGTGAATATTAGTACGTTATCTAACTGAGTATTTATAATACCACCATGGGGTGAATATTAGTATGTTAATCTTAATGAGTGTTTTTAATACCACCATGGGGTGAATATTAGTACATTAATCTAACTGAGTATTTATAATACCACCATGGGGTGAATATTAGTATATTAATCTAACTGAGTGTTTATAATACCACCATGGGGTGAATATTAGTACGTTAATCTAACTGAGTGTTTATAATACAATCAT